CTAATAATATCATTATTAAATATTTATTACAAGGTAAGTAATGTTGTTAGTTTTTACAGTTGTTGCTAATTATTTATAATAGTTAAGTCAATAATAATAGTTATCATTATTAAATAAATATTAGTAATAAATAAATTGTTTTAAAAAAATTACCGACTTACATAAAAACTCAGATTTTTTTTAATTTTTATGTTCAGTTTGTTATCAATTTACTCGTAAAAAACTAAAAAATTAAAGACAAAATGCTTAGCAGTGACAATGTAAGTCTGTAGTAAAGTAAACAGATTGAAGCACACATTTACTTTATTTTCATGTTAATTTCATTTACTTCAGCTCGAATTTTCACAATATTTTTATTTATAATATTTTAATTTTTGATATTTTTAAGTAATAATTAAATTTGTCAACGAATTTAAAAAGTTTGTTTGCGAAATTGAAAATTTTTCGGCGAATATAAAATGTCAATAACTTCGTAACCATGGAAACAACGGTTACAATTTGCAAATCGAAGATAATGAATGTTACTACTCAGTTACTTAAATCGGTGATTTTTTGCGGTTGAAATAAACAATTTACAATGTTCAAATAACTTGTGTCCCGCTTTTTTTTAACATTATATAACATAATTAATCTATATACCAAAGGATATCTTGGGGTCCGGAAGTGAAATATTTATATTATGTGAAGACATTAACCGACCGCACTATAATAACTATTATTAAGTATCAATAATAATGGTAAATGTTATGTAATGATGTTTCTATTAAATTCATCATGAATGTTTTTAAATGTTTTCACTAAAATTTTAGCATATTAAAAAATTGCTAAAAATCAATTCAATTAATCAAAGTTAATCTCTGAAATGTATTTAAAAAATGTTTTTTATCTAATCAGTCGTCATGGAGCTGTATTCAAATTTTTAAAAAGTTTAATTTTCCGGAAATATTTAATTAATCTGCAGAATTAATTAGGATCTAAAAATGCGCTTAACAGCAGCCGCACATCCTCACATCCATCCACGCCACGCCATCTCCGTCCGACCGACATCTGTGAGCAGGCACATGACTGTCTGGCGGGAGAAGATACAACCAACCGGTGAAGAGTTTCGACTCCATATCATTTTGCATTCCAGATTTGTATGCCTTGCTATGTGCTACTCCAATTTCGACACGTGATGTCGACGTAATAAAATGTAAAATCCCTTTTGTATTTTTAGTTTTGAGTAGGCTCGGCAATAGTTTCAAGTTAGGATTTCTTGACATTTTCTTATGAACTTTTGAGGTTACTTCAAATAATTTAAATAAAATCTGATGGGGAAATGTACTTTCAGATGATGGATCATGAGACACAAAACCTTTACGCAAACTATTACTTTGAAAGATGGAATCTTTGGAGCTTGTATTGGAGATTCAAACAACAGAATTGAGTAGCAGATGTGAAACATTTTTGAATATATCATAATAATTATTACTTATCCTTCATTCTCCACAAAGTTTTTGGCTTGTTATTCATTGAAATTCGTTAAAAAATATTCACGGAACTTTTTAAATTAAAAACTAAAAATAATTAAACTAATGTTAACTTATATCGCACAATAAAAAATTATTAGAAATTTGTAACCGCGGGAAGGTCTGAAGAGGAGAATAGAGCAAGAATGCGTCGACATTCGTCTAAAAGTTAATAATAATGAAACAAACACTTGCTCTGACATCCTCTTGAATCATATTTTTAGAAAATAAAATTTTTAGCTGATATCAATAATTACTGCTTTTAATGCTACCAAACGAATATATCCAACAACAACAACACAATGCCTTAAAGATATGCTATAAAATCCTTCTTATAATTTTCCACTGATCCTTTTAACTTGTCGTAATATTTACTTCATGCCAGTACAAAGCACACAAACACTTTTGAAGTTTTGAGTGTTTTACGTGAGAATTATTTAATTATGCGACTCTGTGACACGCGGAGCTGCTTATGAATACGGTCGATGGCACGGGGAAGGTCAGATGAGGTCAGATGTGAGGTGGCCCATCCATTGTACGCCTCACGATCGCGATCGTCGCACGGATGTACAATTTTTGCACATTTCAAAATTTGTTTTTCAAACTAATTAATCGTTAGTTTATAAAATATAAGCAATGCGTCTTCAAGTTAATGAAATATTTTTGTTCCTTTCAAGTAAACTCACCAATCTATCAAACAGTACAAAACAGAAATAATTGGTGTTTTGCGTAAAATATTTATGTAGAGCTAATTTCTAAGAACTAAGAACTTGTTCAACACTGAAGCAGTTAAAAAATTAAAGATTGAGGGCTTTAAAATTGTAGTTCGTGTGAAAAATTGTTTTTTCTTGAGGTCTTTAATAACATTTAAACATTTTGAGGCTTAGCAGTAAATTAGTTCTACGAAAAAATTTGTTTGAAATTCTCTTACGACCGTTTTTTTTAATCCTAATCACATTTTTTTCGAAAATGAAAAACATCGCACATGTGAGCGAAATGAATGGCGAATGTGTGCGGCATGTTTAGTCCGCTGTAATTTCCATTTAATCAACTGACAATTCACTTCATAATATTATTTTTACGCTAATTTAATTCTGAAACGAACTTTTTTCAAATGAAAAGATGAACATTGGGCATGACAAATGCGTGCGAATTTGGTGGTAATTGATGCTCATCCACAGTTGGCGTTCACTGAGAATCATTTAAAATGCTCAACCTCATTAAACAATCATATTTCACGACTCTCTACAATTCTCTTTCATCGAACTTTCATTCCACCCCTGATGACAACAACAACGTCAACAACAAAGATTCATGTTGCGGAGACAAGAACGACAGCAACAATTTCAGCATCAGTGACGTAGTTAGCAAAACTCCACACGCCAACAACAGCGGTACCGGCAGCAGCAGCTTATTGGACTACGATTTATTTGTGAATCACCAAGAACAGCGAGGAAATTATACCGATGCTCTCTTCGCCGGCTGCCTCCTGCCGACCGCTGACGACAGCATTCAAACGTACAACAACAGTATGCATAGTTTGAACTGTCTTGACCTCTACATGTTCTTCTTCAACATCACATCAATAAACACCACCACAAGTCATTCCTATCATGAGCACAACACCACCCGTATCCACAATCATCACTTTCATCACCGCCCTGGTTTCGCAGGCTTCGCTAATAAACATTTGAACGGCACAAACGTCAGTGACGAAAAATTACCTTTGACCTTTGTGGCTTTGCCCCTTCTTTTTGTGCCAGTACTGACAGTGTTCGGCAACGTGTTGGTGGTGCTGAGTGTGTTCACAGACAGAAATCTTCAGTCCGTCACCAACTACTTCATCGTGTCGCTTGCCGTGGCCGACATCATGGTGGCCATCTTCGTCATGCCGCTGGCTGTCTACGTTGAGGTGGGTTTGTTTGTGTCTATTTGCTTATGATGATGTTGCAGTTTGCGATTTCGGTTTATTTATTTTGATTTGTTCATGTCCGGTCTGCGTATGTTGATCTTTGGAGTTTATGCCAATGCTGTTTGTTCATCGGTACTGCTGCTGTGTTCATGTTAGGAATGTTACTTTAAAATAACAACAATAATAATAATGTATTAATCATTTGTATTGTATATTCTTTTATTCTCTTTTAAAAAATACCTGCTGTGATTTACCTACGTATCATTCAAGTTCTTAAAGAATGTCAGGTCACATACATGATTATAATTCAATTATTGCAAAACGCAATCAAAATAAAACAAATAAATTTTTGATGTCATATTCTGTTAGAACATTGAGACATACATAAACACAATTACATCGTCAGTGGTATTGGAGCGTTGAATGGAGAGAGGCAACTAACTATAAATTCACTTTCTTCATAAGTCCTTTGAATGCATATGAGAGATCAAACAGAGGCAAGAAAGACCTCGAGACACGTCTGCAGAACACATACAACAAACACAGCTGCATGCAAAGGTACAAGCAGATACAAACTACTGTGTAGACTCGTGCATAAAATAAACAAAAATGATTGTATGTCCAATTAAATTAGAAATAAAAAAATTTTCATTGCAAAATATGAAATTGAATTTTTTGGAAATTTATTAATATATTTTTTTTAAATATATTAAATTATATTACTCCGAAAAAAGTTATACATATATAGAATAACAACATGTAGTACTGACCGCCTATAAATAGATAGAAAGGCAAAATTTCCGTCCGTAGGTATTTATTAATGGCTTTTTATATGAAAGCGTATTATGTGACGTCATGTCCTCCAGCCCAATGCATATTAATGAGGAAGTAGTTATTAAATGTAACTTCTTAATGTTAAAATGCAACAAAGCATTTTTATCAATATATTAAAGAAACTGCGTTGTGCTGAAGTTTTTTTAGCGCGAACACTTTACTTTTTGCTACCAAAAATATCAACCGAATATGAAAAAATCAAAGTTAGAGTTTTGATCACGAACAAAAATTCCAAAAATTCAAATTTGTTGTGCACGGGAACCAGAAGACCAGGGTTGTAGTTTGCGGGAAGTTAGTGGGGACATTGCCCATTCAAAATAGCAGTTGGCCAAACCTGAAGCTTATACAAAATATTAATTTGCTTTCATAACAAAAGCCTAATTAATTTTAAAACAAGAAACGAGGAATCCACGCTTTGTTTTCTGCCTTAATGATATTTAAACATTCGCAACAAAAACAAATCGAGAAGCAAACTAAACTTCTTGTCAGAAACACGACGATAAATCCTTACGACTCCAATTCTTTGATTGAAATTTTTCTGAATCAGGCTCCGGATAAGACAGTCCTACTCCCGACTTTGATTCTAGGTTCCGACTCCCAAGAAACATTTTCAACTTTTGCTTCATAATTCTACTTAAATGGCATTACAAGATGAAAAATGCTTAAAAAACACATAAAATAAGTCAATTTAATTGTTTTTGTTGTTTCTGAAATTATTTTATATTTTAGCTTCAAAACGTACTGAACAAAAATTACTTAATTTATTTGCATTATTAGTATTTAATTTCAATACTAAAAATGATTGCTTATTGCTAGACACACATTACATACCCTCTAAAAAATACGATCTTAAAAAATTATTTCTAGAATAATTCAAGATGTGCACTGTGCAGTGATGTATAGTGTTGATTTTTGTTGTTGTTGTAATAAGCAAACAAAAAACAAGCTGCCCAAAATAAGCAAAAAGTTGTATTTGCAACAAAAAAGTGTTGATTTGTGATGAGAAGTTCATTTTGTTTGTTGCAATGCATTTTGTTGACAGGGCTATTGTTTGGTGCTTCTTAAAAACTTTTCACGTTATATATCGCCAACGTGTGCAGAAATGAAGAAACGATGGTTCAGACATTCGATGCTCTTTTTAAAACAGATGCATACAAACAAATGCATACAAACGGATGCATACAAACAGAAACATACAAACAGATACATACAAAACAGATGTAGACAAGTTTCGTACTTTTTATGCTAATTTTCAAGTTTCATTTCAAGTTTATCAATAAAATCTTGATATAACATTTCTGCAATACTGAAATTCCCATTTTAAAGCCATAAAACACGATAGGCACCATTGAGCTTATTTTAGTTTTGAGGGCATTAAGTTTTTATAGCATTGTTAACCAGCCTTAAATCGTGTCATCTTCACTCAATGCTTATTTTCATTTCTTTGTCAACTCAATATAATCTATCCAGCTGTTTTTAATTTCAAACAATTAGTATTTATTTATTATTACGCTACACCTTTGCAAAGATCTAAATTATTTGCAATGTCTTGAAGGTTTCATTCACATTTGAATCTGATGCAATATCATAACTGGCTCTAGCCTGATAATTTATTTCCACGACTGCCGCCCATTTCAATCTCTTGTTCGTCGTACCTACGGCTTTAGTAATCTACAACTTGTAAATTTTGTGTTTCAACTTTTTTTATTAAAGTTTTTAGCAAAGACCAAATATTTAGTGAATGGTTTACAGTAAAATATTCACATTTGTTCAAATTCTTCAATTTTAAAATGCAAAATGTCCATCTCAAAAATCTTTTGTATTTATAGTACGGACCCGTTGATCAATCAAAAATTAGTTTATTTATTCAATTAACTTTCGTTCCCGAATCTAAACTTTCTTAATTATCAGTAAATAAAATATTGTTCAATTAAATTTTTAAAAGTAATAAAACATTAAATACGAGAATTGAACAATATTTTGTTGGTTGTTTATCTGATTTGATCAATCCCAATTAACTTGAGTAAAATGATGATTGGTGATCAATGATTAGTAATCAATGATTGGCGATCAATGATTGGTGATTAATGATTGGTGATTAATGATTGGTGATCAATGATTGGTGATCAATGATTGGTGAACATTGTTTGATTATTGATTATTGATGATCAATGATTGAAATCAGTGATTGGTGATCAGTGAATATAATCGAATATAATCGAGGATCAATGATAGATGATGAGTTTCAACGATTGACTCTTAGGTGAACAACTCGGTGTGGATGTTGGGTGATGGCTTGTGTGACGTGTGGGTGGCCCTGGATGTCCTCTGCTGCACCGCCTCCATCCTCAACCTCACCGCTATCAGCTTCGACAGGTTCCACAATAAATTATCATCTTCTCCGTCATTATTAATAAGATTATTTTATTGTTAAACTATTAATTAAAATTATAATTAATTTTTTGTTTAAAATTAATTTCTATTTAACAGCTAAATATATCTAAATTGTTTTGAATGAGTCTAATTATGTAATTTTGTGTCAGTTTCAAAGCAGACGTTGCCTGATTGAAAATATAGTCTTACTAGCAATTCCTTTGACAACGTTGTCAAAATTCAAAAGCACTTGAGTTACAAATTTTTTAATTTTCATAGACTTAATATTGTCTTGAAATCAGTTCCATAAACATTTTAAAACATTGTAAAAAATGTTATTTTTCCAATTAAAAATTTACTTTTTGAAATATTTAGAACAAAATTAATCATTTTTTAAATAAAAAAATTGAAAACAATGAAAAGAAAAATAAGAAAAATGAAAAAAAGCTATTTGCTGTTTGCAAAAGTGATTCAAAAATTATCAAATGATAGACGGTCTGGAGTTACATTACTTTGTCTCGTTGAACTAATGTACCTCGAAGGATGGAGGGCCTCAAATTAGATAAAGGATTGATCATCAGCTTGGATGGACTGATGTTAAAAAATTGATTACAAATCAAACTGGATATCGTCAAACTGACTTTGGCATAGCAGAACTTTTTAATTATGTTTTGTTTGATGTTTTTGTATTTTTTATGTTTGGTGTTTCATTTTAAGTTTTTTCCACTTGCTGACGCTATGATAAATTTCCGTCTCTGGGAAATGTTTATATGAGATTTCAGTTATCGTTTGGTTGTATAATAAAGGTAATCATTTGACTAAGAGCTAACTTTAAATTACAAACGTTTGCCAGTCATTATGGGTTTTTTTATTTATAATATTTATTTGCCTCCACGTTATGAAAATTTTAAAAAATTCAGTAGAAATTTTTAGTGACAGCAAAACCTCTACTTGCTGGTAATAAAAAGTATAAAATACCATTTTTAGGTAAGAAATAACATGGATTTTTTTCAAATTTTGTAACCAAATACATTGCACGCATTATGAATTTTTGCAATTTTTTGTTAAGTTATGTAATGTGAAACCTTTTTTTACTGAACAACATAACTAATTTTCAATTAACTGGGGTAACGTGAAAATTGCACACGAAGCCAGATAGAAAAAAAATTGTAGATTGTTAAACATGTGCTGTTTTTAATCAATTGCGTTTGAAAAATATGTGCGTAATTTTGTGTATTGTTCAAATATGAATGGATGTGTGTGTGTGTGTGTGTGTGTGTGTGTGGTATGTGTGTGTGTAATGTGTGTGTGTGTGTTGTGTGTATGTAATGTGTGTGTGTGTGTGTGTGTGGTCTGTGTGTTGTGTGTGGTATGTGTGTGTGTGTGGTCTGTGTGTGTGTGTGTGTTGTGTGTGTGTAATGTGTGTGTGTTGTGCTCCCTGCATTATAACAGGTTGTTCTGATGAAATATATTATTGTGGAATGTTAAATTTTTTTTGTTTTATTATGGTGTATATTTTACGCTGGAATAATTTTTACAAAAAGGCAATTAGAAGCCCATCAGTGATGGCAACACAAATTATCCGTAACACAAATTTATTAAAATTTTCAAGACAGGATGGCTTGCCATAAAACACAAATGATGGATGTTATGCCCTCATAAATCAAGCTTACAACAACAAATTATTCTTCCCGCTCTTCATCCAGCAAACTTAAACGTTCTTTTGATCCCATAATAAAAACTTATTAATTCAGCAAAATATATATTATAATAAAATTTAGTTGTTTTTAGAAAAAATGTTTCCCTTCTTTAATAGCAAAACCCGGGCCAAATATTTCATGGTCGATGGCTGGTTGCGGTTGCACCAAGATAATGGCCTGCTGAAATATGCATGGAATGTGAGAACACTGCAGCACTTACGTCAACTTTACTGAAATTTAATACGAGTGAATTTTTATTATTCACCTAGTTTCGTTTTCAAAAAATGTAACAATTTTAGTATTACCTCGGGAATGATTTTAAGTCCAATGTTAAAAAAAGTTTTTATAATATTAATCATAAATAATAAAAATGTACACATTATTATGTAACTGGAAAAAATTATTCACAACAATCCATTAATTAAACAACATGAAGTGACAAATGAACCAAAATTTAAATTACGGCATAAAAATCAGTTAATCCGGAATTGGTTAATCCGGATATTTTTTTATTAACTCCCGTAATTTCCGTTTCAGTGGGGTGATGATTTATAATAATTTAATGACCTTTCCTGCTAATTTTCGTTACTTTATTACTACATTTTACACAGAATCTTCAGTATTTTCCTTTGTCACGGTCATTTCCGCATCTCCTCTAGAACCGCCAATATCTGTACCGCATGTCAGAATTTTTTCTTTAAAAATTTCTGGATTTGCTTAATCCTGAATTTGTGAGATCCGGCTAAGTTATTATGACGGTACTCGGTTATTCGCATTATGCAATGATGCAATTAACAAACTTCAATATTTTAAAGAGGTTTTAAATTTTTATAAAATTATTTGAGATGTTTTATAAAAACATGTAATTATTTTCTAACAGAAAAATTTGATGCATGACTAATTAAATGCATGGAAAACATGGAGAAGATATGGAAAGCGGTAACCTGAAAAAGTTAGACAGAGATGCAAAAATTGTTAAAATTAACAAAGTAAACCAAATCTAGAAATTTAATTCCACATGAGTCATCTATTTGAAATATTAAATAGATTTCAATTTTTTTCAAATCGTCTCAGAATTAATTATCTGTAAAATTAAATAAGTTTTTATATTTGAAATAATAAAGCTGAAATTGAAATATTTTTCAAAAAGTTAAGCGAGGTCATTCAACTTAAATCTCCCTTGCACAAAAAAGCTTCAAAGCCATTACTGGTTAAGAATGGAACAAACGGCTGATTATTAGTATAGTATTTGTTGTTGTTGTTGTTGCCCCTTCCGGGGGCCCTTAGGATTCCAATCGAGGTCGGAGCCAATCCGCCACTGCAATAGGATTGCTCCAGAGGTTTATTGGTTGAAAATCCGTGGCGTTTTGAGGACAGCTAAACAAATGTTGAACATCATCTGTATGATTGTTGCAGAAAGAACAGGTGTTGATGTGCCCACTGTCGATTCTGTTTTTGTAGCTGTTTAGAAAAATACTATGGCCAGATCGGAGTTGGGCGAGGGCCCGTCTGATAGCCTTTGGAAGTGATTCTTTTGAAAGATCTATTTTTGGTGCTGGAGGAGGCCATCCATCGAGCAATAATGGCTACTGGTACGACTCAGCGGCGGCTTCAGCAGTGTTTGTATGTAGGCTCTTTGAAGCCGTCTTCAGAGTTTTATCGTCAATTGTTGATGGTAGAACCCCCGTTATTGTTGATGACCATTTTGAGAGGAGGGTGGTCTTTATGTCACGATGAGGGCGAGGTTTTATGATGATATTATGGCACGGGTGGCTTGGGTTATGACATAGGAGGAGGAATTGTGAGGCTATTAGCTCTGAATGCTGCCTTACCGTTAACATCTGGCATTCCGAGTGCAGGTGTCGTTCTGATGCGATGGTATGGCAACCATAAACCAGACGTAGTGCAGCATTCTGGGAGCGTTAGAGACGGGAAAAGCTTGAATCTGACGTCAGTGATGTCCAGGCAGAACAGGCATACTCGATTGTTGAACGACCGATGGTTTTGTAGGTCTGTACAAGCGTTTCCTTATCCTGACCAAAGGTAGTACCACTGAGTGCCTTAAAGATATTGGTTCTTTAGAGGCCATCGATGCTGCTTGTTTATGGTGTTGTGTTTTAGGGTTGTGTTCAAAAGGAAGGAGATTGTTATTGATTTTGATTGAAGGACGGTGAGGTGGAAATCTCCAAGTTTCTGTTGTTAAAGAAGTCAAAGAGCTTTGGCAGGTAACAATTGAGCCGGTGGATCAGACTATCCGCATCTGGACCAGTGGTGTAGACTGTGAAGTCGTCTGCATAGGAAATGACTTTGATGTTTTGAGGCGGGGTTGGAATCCTGGAGACGTAGAGGTTGAACAGAGTTGATGACAACGGATGGTACGTTCTTTTGAGGATTGTCGACGGAACTCAAAATATTAATTAGTACGCGCAAGTATAAATATTCACATGAATTCAACGAATGCACACTGCTCATAACTCTGTACAGATATAAATAATTTCAAATAAAAATATAACAACGTGTTATTTATATAGCATTTTATGAAAAGTGCCGGATTGATTGGTACCCTTACAATTAAAATTAACATGATAAATTAAAAAATATTGAATTGACTGGTATTAATAAATAATCATAAACAGAAAATTGAACATATAATCGACGAAGAAAACGAACAAATTAGAAAGTGTATGACAAGCCTGCCTGCTGGGACGAGCATTACAAAAATGTACAGCCTGCTACTGCCAACATCTTCAAATCAAACGGGCGTGAAATAGGAAAATATTTGATTTAAAACTGTTACTTGCCATACATAACGTGCATTATGTAATATGCAAGACATGCATCCTAATAAATATAGATAGGAATGCGTTTGAAGGCTTTCACAAGAAAATATGCGTACATTTCGCTACACACACAAATATTTGTGTATCTATGTATTACCTATGGGACATAGGACAAAAGTATTTTTGAAGTAAATTTTTTTATTAGAACAGCTGAATTGAAGCATATAAGAAATGCATTTAGTAAAAAATCTTTCGGCAAACATTATGCAACTCAACCCCTCCTTATTAATTTCAGTGATTGGATCCAGTGCTGGTAAGTGCTAATGACAAACAATTCAATGTAAGCTAATAGGAAACAATGTTTAAATTAGGTTACATTTTTTAAAATATGTTAAAGTATAGTTTTGTCATAATTTTGTTCTAAGCTTCTTCTGAAAAATAAACATTATAAATTTGTATCAAATTAATTAAGTTGATATGCAAATTTTGGCAACCATGGGTTGAATATATTTGGCCAATGTTCTTACTAATATGAAATTTCACGCAGCATTTTTCGCCGTCGTAATGTCTAATGTCAAAGTTGAAACAAATGATGCTAAGTTGGTTTTATACAAAAGGTTTGTCGATTGGGAAAGATTTAAAAATTGATTACAAAAATAAAACAAAAATTTTCATTAAATTTTCAGTGCAGTATACATTAAAGCAACCAGTACATTTAAGCGTAAAAACGAAAAATGAGTATCAATAAAAACTCAAAAATAATTTTTAATAAAAACTTACTTTTAATCACTAGAGTTCAGTAAGCAGTTTGTATTCTTTGGTATTTAATTATGTTTGTTATTTATTAAAATGTTAATGTTAATAATGAACTAAATAATGTGCATTAAATTCAGCATTTTTTTTCCAATTTTGAATCGCAATTTTATGTCTATGCCGTTAAAAAAATTCCTAATGTTAACGTATCAAAACAGCAAACTGTAAGAAAAATTATCTATCTAGAGTTTATGGGAAAAATCTGCGTTGATGAAGAATGTCGATGTGATGGCGGAAATTTGTAGAGTGCAGAAGTTTTTTTTTTAAATTTAGTTTATTTAAACATTTTAATAGATACTTTGCTGTGACATATCCCATTAAATATGCTCGACATAAAAATTCCAAACGTGTCTACATAATGGTCGGTCTGACCTGGGTCATATCAGTCGCCATCTCGTCACCAATAGTTTTCGGCGCCAATTACACCGAGAGACGCAACCAAACGAAACATCTTTGTACATTTTACAACTCCGACTTTTTGATTTATTCATCCATGGGATCTTTCTACATTCCATGCATTTTAATGATTTTTTTGTATGGTAGAATATTCAACGCCATCAGAATACGAGCTAAAAAAGCGGCTGCTCAAAAAAGGGTCAAAACAACAAACTGTCGAGTTTGGTCGTTGGCCGATACCCGGACTAATGCAGCAAATGTTAAGATAATTGATGTCTCAGAGCCTCCAGTTGAAAGAAAAACAAAAGGCGTAGAAATGAACAAAAGCCAACTGGTGAACACTGAAAAGCAATCTGGCGTATTAAACGTTAACGAGATCGACAACGTTGGAAACAACGTAGCACTTACTCCTGCTTTTGAAGATCGTTTCATCATCGACAATAAAATGCACTTGGTAAAGTAAGTGATCAATTAACTCTGCATGTTAAATATTCCACTTCATATTTTTGGTTATTTTCAAATGACATCTTTAAACAACATTATAAAAAATAATTAGGTATTCAGTTTTTTTTAATTTCTTAAAAACCAATAGTAGATTATTTATTGCGTTTTTTGAAGTAGAATCAGTGAAATACTCTTTTTTATATAAGTTATTCTGAACAAAATATTTTATGATTTTAAAGTTCATCCAACCACGTGGCTCAATCAAACTTTCCATCGAACTCCACGATTGCCGTAAACAACACACCGCTTGTTATCGAAAATCCGATGACGTCTGTTGACTACACGAAACTGGAAGCAGAGCGCCAAGTAAACACCAGTGAGCGTGAAGACGACGCTGAAAAAAACTGTCAAACATTCATTCCCGATGAAATAAGTGTAGAGAGTGGTGCAAGTTTGCATACACATCCTGCCAACAACATCCAACACGAGAATGACTGCTGTCTAAACAACGGCCGATCGAACAATCTTTTGCCGAATCCACCAAATTTAATTTGTAACGATGTAAGCTTTTCATTTTTAACATTATTAAAAAATCAAATTTTGAAATTCAAATTTATAAATTAATACAATGTTATTAGCTAATTATTTTATTGTAAAACTATTAATGAACATTTTATTTGCAAGAAAAGTGTTATCAACCGTTATTAAAAATAGATTTTATTGCATCATTTTAATATTGATTAAGTTGGCACGTTTTTCAAGAAACACATATCAGGGGAGTGTTTAGCGTTGGCATTATCAGAAGAAATTTCAGATGGAAATTGTGGCTGTTCAAACCCTGCAGTTCAAACACCGACTCAGGCAGCAGTTTTAACGAGCAGTGTCAATTCCGTTCAATGTATTTACACCGATCCCGATATCAAATGTCCTAAGATACAAGGTTCTAAGGCCCTGTCGGATCAAGAGTGCAGAAATCGCGATAAAATTGATTTGAAAACAATTCACACATTCCACTTTAGATTTAAAAAAACAAAAGCGAAAAAAAATATAAAAAATGAAAAAAAGATGCAGAGTTCACAGAGAAGAGAGAGGAAAGCCACGAAAACGTTGGCTATAGTTTTGGGTTGGCATTCACGTTTTTATACGATAGTTCAATTTATTAAATGTTCTTGGTTATTTTACAGGTGTGTTTTTGTTCTGCTGGGTGCCATTTTTTACAATCAACATTATGAATGCAATCTGCATACGATATGATCTGATCGGTGGAGTCTGTGAATTAGATCCTAAATTATTTTCCTTTTTCGTTTGGTTGGGGTATATGAACAGTTTCATCAATCCAGTTATATACACAATATTTAACGCTGAATTTAGAAAAGCCTTCAAAAAATTATTAAAATGTTTTTCTAAATGACCTTTTGCTGTAAATATATGCTTGATTGTGATTTTGAGTGTGATACTGTTTAAAACGCTTATGTCTTTAACTTGGAAATTAAAAATTATTTGAAACAAGTGAAACTTTTTTACGTATATTCAAACGTTAGTCAGTTTTTAATTACAAATACTTTTCGTTTTCAACACCTTATTTTGCTCGAAAGAGATATGACGACCAACAAAATTTATGCGTTGCAAAAATCATTGAAAATTTTGTTGTGAGTAGCTGACAAGAGACACAAAACAATTTCGCAGGCCACAGACCTGGTTTGAGCAAAATCAGATTGATTCTGAGATTTTGCTTGGCTTAAACGCCAAATTAAATCGTGTGTGTGTGCAGTTATATAGCTGTTTTAAATTTATTTTATCACCACTTTCTTGTTGATTAAATAGCGTTCCTCATGTATTAATTTTTGGGTTAACTTTGATAAAAGCATGAAAACCATGGTTTATGATATTTGAACAGAAAAAATTATAAAATATTATAGTAACAAATGCGGATAGAGATTTGGTTACTAAAAAAAATGAACAATATTGTTTCAGAGAAAAACTAAAATGTGTTATGTTGTCTTAAATTTCTGTTTCCTAACAAGACTGGGTAAAAAACTGAATAAAAGTTTGTGGTGTATAGACAAAATTGTCCAAACCAGTTCGCACGTTTATCGTCAGCTGAGCAAAAACACTGTTTATGAGTAAAGCCCTAGAGATTGGTATTTTTGAAATAGCACGAGGAAGTTGGTTCTCAATTTGATAGAACTTTCAGCAATGTCTCAGTTGGAAAAATACTATTTACATCAGAAATTTGATATAAGAATCAGCATGAAAACTAGGAAAAAGTCAACATTTGTTAGTCTTGAACTGTTTCCATGCAAATCTCAAATATTTTTATCATCAGCCATGGTATAACTAAAAACTTAAAAATAGTTTGCAAAATTTTTTAAAGTAAGAAGCATAACAGAAAAATTCATGTGTTTAAATAGACAATTGGCTTTGCTTTAAACATATTTTCAACCAAAAGTCAAATTATATTTTTTTCCATATTTGAATATGATTAAATGTTAATTGAAATTCTCTTTTTGTTTGTTTAATGAGCATTGGTTGATTAATTTCATCAACAAGGTGGAAATGCTTTTCTAGACATTTTTTTATTCCATCAAAACCTGTAAAACTGCCATCTAATGTTTTAAAGCCACCTATCCAGTTTTCCTGAAAAATAATTTATTCAATAAATAACGAATAAATAAAAAAAAATTTGATTCAGAAAAAACTAGGTGGTCAACTTAAGAATAAACAACTCTTAAAATTAACTCAATAGTCAACAAAACTTCGTTTTTGGGGAAAAAATTTCCTAAAGAACTGAACATTAATTAAATCATTCCAAATACATAACATACCCTTGGCGTATATTCTTTTGAGAAAGAATAAGACGTTGAAATGACCAGTATTCCTGTTGATGAAATAAGTTGAGGCAGTCTGTTTAAAAAATTTAAAGGCATTTTGAGTTTGCAGATAACATTGGAAGCAAGAACACAATCAAACTGTCCCAAGTTTAAAGGAAGGGCACAAGCATCCCCATGCTGAAAACCCACTTTTGTTCTATCCTGTCATGATTTGTATAAGAAGTCAAATAAACACTTGACTAGATGAAAAAATAAAAATGTATATTATATCTGTCTTTTTTATTGTGTAATCAACACTTACAATGCTTGGATCTACAGTCGCTTCTAAGTTGTCATACAATTCACCTTCAATTAAAGACAGATATGATAATGATCCTTTTTCTTTTAAAATATTACAAGTATCAATAAATAGATTACTGTGGTCAATGCCCAAAACATGATCATAGGCTTTGGCCAACTCAAAAGAACTTCTACCAACTGCACAACCAATGTTTAATGCATTCTTTGTTAAAAAGGTTTAGTTAGATGTTATTATAAAAAGAACTGAATGACAATTATTATTTTAATATTAATTTAATTTACTACATTAAATGTGTTCCCATGATGAATACACAAATCAGCACAACGTTTTGGAAAAGATATAAACTCTTCTCTGATTGAATTGACCCAAGGTCCAATAACATCTTTTGGTGATGCATAATGAAGCGTTAAATATTCGTGTAAATTGCGACTCGTTTCGCAAACATTTTCTTTTAATTTGCGCTTGAGTGACCACACTTTCCACGAAGAATACAAGGCAACGCCTGTTGTGGCAGCCAGTACACTGGCAGCAACAATTTTGTGATCAACATGAAAAATCCCGGGCATTTAATTTTATAACTTGTTTTAAAAATTTTTTCGGTGAGCTAGCAACGAACCAAGCAAGTGAGTGACCCACTTTCATGCCGTTTGCGAAACACCGGTATAAAATTAAATGGAAAGCCGCACAAAATTTTGTTAAAAAATCGTGTGAAAAATCTTTGTGTGTGTGGCATATATACAAAATAAAATATCCTCGTGTATGTGTGTGTCGCGCGCGCGTGTGTGTGTGCAGAGATATGATTTTCATATTAAACCTGTATAAAGCATTGGTTCGACCTGAGTTGGAGTACTGTGTTCAGCTTTGGAATCCAGATTTAAAAAAGGACTGACATATGCTTAAGAAAATTCAAAACGAGAACAATCAAGGAGTGTCGCAGTATGTCATATAAAGACAGAATAAAAGTTTGTGGTTTGACAACATTAGAAAATAGAAGAACAAGAAGAGATTGGATTCAGGCATCCAAAATCATTACTATGAAAAAGAATTAAGAATCAGTAAAATTTTTTGAGCTTAGGATAAACAGTAAAACAAGGGGGCATAAATATATAATCTTTAAAAAAAGTTCGGGATTGGTAGAACAAAAATTTGTACACTATAGAGTTGTCTATGAGTGGAAAAAACTGGAAAATAAAATAATATACGCAGAAACAACTAATAACTTCAAAGCAAACTTGGCAAAAATAGGATATTAAAAATCTCAAAATGATCCTGTCACAGACTCAGTTTTTTAGACCACTATAAAAATTTTTATGCTATGTTAAAAATTTGATTAAAAATATTAGGGCCGAAGACTTAATCCGGCACGGCCCGACTTTTAATACCCATATTATCTTTTTTAACATCTGCTTAGTTATTTACATTAGTTCAAAAATTATCCTTGAAGTTAAGTTTAATATTTCAGCCAATTTTATTATATTGATTTCATTTTTCCTGTTCATTTTTTTTTGTTAATGTTTAGGTATTTTGGTGGCCTTATAAGCTCGCTTCGAGTTAAAATAAAAATTGCGTTAAATTGAAATTGACCTTTATAATTTACATTCAATAGATATAACAAAAAAGTTGTTAATATTGCAAAAATATGTACAAAAAATTAAACTGATGTATCAAATGTTACCAAAAATTGTGCAGATTATTTATTAATTTTATAAAATAAATGACAAAAAATTTGAAAAAAATTAAAAAATTTTATTAGTCATTTAGAAAAAATAGCATTTATTCAAAAAAATTATACATAAAAAATGAGGGGAAAAGCACAATGGTATAGCACAAGCAAAATGACTATTTTATTTGGACATCTTCTGAGGAATTTGCAAACCTCGTTATCAACGTTTTATCGTTTCTTTGGCATAGTGATAATTTTCGATGGTGCACCGTTTATCATTTATATAAATAAGTGTTGGCTACTCTATTTTGACTGACAACAAATCAAGACTAGTTGGCACATTTGCAATAAATTTCCTGTTCAACATTCATGCATTGTTTATAACAGCGTCTAATAGAAAGATAAAATGTGACAATATTTTTGTTTTATATGAGGCTAAATTCCAAGATTAATGCTGACTAACATTTTTCTGTTTCGGTTTTTTTTGAGAAATTTTTATCATTACAACTTTTAACATAAGATGAAGGACAACGATTTTTACAAAAATTTATGACAAAACTAACGTTTAATGTTAATCAGTTTAGTTGAGATTTGAAAATGTTTTTGAAAATTTTATATAGAAATTCACTTACGCTTTATGAAGTCAGTTTAGCAGCTATTTAGCACATTCGACGATACAATGTGAATTTAAAATCGAAGTGCACATTTAAATAATAAATTATCAAAAAAAAAAATTTGAGAAAGGAATTAACGTAGACAAAAAAAACTATAAATGAAGTAAGATTTAATTTTAAAACTACTTTTCCATAAGTGTTCAAAATACAGGACGCCAACAGAGTATGGGTTAACCAATTGAGGTATCCAAACTACACATTAACGCCTTTTCCTCATTTTATTTTACGTCACATTTAACTATTTACTTAAATCATTTGACAACGTCGTTTTTCTAGCTGAGTCAATAATTTTGAACATTATTGCCCCACCCATGTACCAACACATTCGAATGTCATTTAATCATAATATGAACCATTTATATAAGTAAAAACAATTGAACCTAGCACACTTCTTAGGAGAAGCACTACATTTCCTCGCCCAATACATTGACATGCTATTATTCACTCTTGTTAAAAATTTTGTGGTAAAACTTGAACGTCTTGAACGCTCGTTACTACCAGCACCAATGTTATTACTTCAAAGATCTCTATATTTTCAACACCAGTGTTGTAAATTCTAACGATCGTCAAGTTATCGTTATTCCGCATGTTCAAGATTTCTGATAGATGAACACAACTGCTTCAAACGCAAACTTTGTTGAACGTTTATTTGAATGCCAAGAGTAATAACAACGCTAAACTAACCCAAGTAACTACATAAATCATAATTACAACTTCGCATCAAGTCTCTGTTTTGACTTCGCTACATAACTTCTTTATATACAAGGTATTCTTAAAATCTAAAGATTGCAAATATAGCAAAAATAACAAAGATGACGAATAATCAAGATAACAAATAATATAGCGCAATTTGACCATTGCAGCGGTTATAACAATGTTATACAGTTTAGATAAATATACACACAATTCAAACAATTGACCATTCAATTCACATTTTAAAATTAAAATATCATATCAAGCGTTATCTTAAAGCCGGTATGTACCACAACGATATTAATTAATTATTAGAGGCTTTATAAATAAGTAATTTTTCTAGTCTTTCATCGCCGCATCAAGCATTTAACGCCAATGTGTCTAAACAAAATATATAACACCTTTTATGAATAATCTTAGATTTTTTGATACAGTTGCATATAAAATAAGGAATTGATATTTTTGTTTTGTGAGTCTTTTCTTCTTTTTGCCATCATCACTCCTATCAAAACACCTTCAATGTTGCTTTGATTTGATATTTGAACTATATTTGTTGAAAGATTTACAAAAATGTATGTGTAACATTCTAAAACTCGTTGAAAGTATTTGTTGTGAAATAAAAAAAAATTTTATTTGTTAGTGTCTAATGAGCATAAATTTTAGAGGTCAATTTCAATTCAGGACAATTAAGTTTGCAAGCAGAAGACTCGAATTTAGGCGCTGTAGTAATATTCAATCATTTAATAAATAAATATAACTACGTAACAAAATATGAAAAAATTCAAATGAACACTAAAAAATCAAGTGGTTCATCATTTAAGAAATGAGCAGGTCAGGTGCGTAAGCAAAGCCATAATCAGACAATTCTATTATAAGATGAATGACTTGCTGTAGTAAGAACAGCGGATCACTTATAGGCTGTATCCGGTTTGAAGCTATGAATGTATGTATGCAATATGAGAGCTATATAACATTCATGCAATAAACATGTATATAATTAGTGTATACTATTATATGAAGAATGCGCCTGCAAATTCAATGACAGTGCATACGTATATCTACTTGTATCAATTCAAGTGTTTCATGCACGTTTGACATCTTATAAAACCAATAACTTTTTTTAAATTTTCATATTAAATTTGTTGTGTTCAAATATTTAAGAAAGTTTTATTAGAATGCTTATAATAAATATATTCTTCCTGACGTTATTTTTATATTTAGTTAGAAGCCGTTAGTAGTAATTTTTTGAAATAATATAACAACGATCATTTAATTTAATTTTTATTAACAATAAATAAACGATTTTTTTAAAAGAGGTACCTCCAACTATAGTAAACAGTACACTTACTGACGATATCTTTATCACGGCGTTAGACTGGGTATACGAAGCATCTGTTTGCGCCAGGGGAAGTGGAGTAAGTCCAGCAAACAAACCAACGTCGGTATTTATTTGTCGTTTATCTTTGATGTATTTTTCAAATATTAAGTAATGATGTTGTATTTCATAGTGGCATAGCTCATTGTATTTCAAAATTTTCATTTCAGATATTTAAAGCCGTTAAAGCGGATGACTTTTTAATGTTAAAACAGTCACAAACTGATTTATATAATTTAAAATTGCAAACAAAAAATTTTAAGAGGAAACCTATATTCTTGACTGTAGTTTGTCATTTTTTCTTCAGCTAGTGCCCATATCATTTCAGAAAATCAAAGTTGCTTATTTCTATCTTGACATTTTCTCTTCAGGAAGTGGTAATCTATTATTAACCTAAAATGCACGGGAACAAAATCGGATAAAAAATTTTCAAAATTTCACTCCGATTTCATGATCGAAAATTTTCCGACACCGTTCTCCGGGTTCCACGACTCGAAAAATATTTCAATTTTTCCATCATAACTTTACTTAAATATTACTACCAAATGAAAATTATTTTAAGGAACATTTAAAATCCGTCTCTATAATTGTTTTTCTCGGTAAAATTACGTTATAACTATGTTTTAAAATATACTGAAAAAAATTATGTGGTTTTGTTCACATTATTTGCATTTACTATGGGTATTAAAGACGATCGAATATCGCAACGTTATTTTAAGTGTATGGCTACACACTTCTAAAACAACACGATATTAAAAAAATTTTTAATTAAAAAAATTTTTTTTAGAATAAAAAGTAAAAAGTTTTAAAATTCTTTTTCGGATAAAAAATATCCGACTCCGGTTCCTCAAAAAGTTCCTATTCCAGCAAAATCTTCAACTCCAGCCAAAACCTCTGACTTCGACGAAAATTTCCGGCAAAAATTTTTGACTTCAGCAAAAATCTCCAACTCCGGCAAAAATCGCTGACTCCAACAAAAATCTTCCACTACAGCAAAAACCTCCGACAACCTCTAATGCTTTGCGTAAACTCCTGATACAAATTCCTTAATCGGTTTGAGTTTTTCTGGCAGTCTACTTACCGACCCAATCCGGACTGCTCGATTTATATTGCAAATCTTGTTTATCCAGATGATCCGGGTCGGCAACTAACAAACAAAGATTTGTTCCTGTTTCAAATTTCCAACAAAAAATAATTTTCCTACATTGTTTTATTGAGGTTTTATTATTTATGTTTGAAATGTCAATTCTTTCAACATTTGCTTGCGATTTTGATATCCAACTTTTTAGTCTTCGGCCACATTCACTAATCAGTACATGCAGTACAATCTCTAGCAAGTTTATGTGACATGCGCAAACGACTGATTTGAATTGGGGCATTGCGAAGGTGCTGTGTTATTTCAATTGTCAAATTTTAAACTGATCGCATTTGTTATTTTGTTACAACATAACAATGAGAAGCTTTTCGATATGAAATTTGGAGCTGCAGCCTCTCTACAACAAAATTTTTTCTTATTTAAATACATGTTTTTGTTTTAACGGCCTTGTTTTTTGCGCAATAGTCTGTTTTAAATTCTATAACATGTCAAGTGCTTTTGTTGTTTGCGCCGGCAGGCTGTCTCAATGTAGTGGCGTAGACAAACGGCGTCCGTCTTATGTGGCTGTTGATAAATTTGGCCCGCAGAATCATTCACTTGTTGATGTCGTCAACCAACAGAGCCCACGTTTTTTCGGAGTTCTCATATTTTGTATATTTTGATATTTTTTTAATTTTTGTTAAACTCTCTTATGTTACATCTGCGTTTGCTTTTCTGGTCCTTTTATCCGGAAATCTTTACCTCCTTCTCTAACTCTTTCTCCATCACGAAGTTCAGAACAGATCTATAATGAGTGTCGTTTCTTGTTCGATTATTAATTTTTATAACATCTTAAACACTAATACTCGACACACGTAAGTCGCCAATTAAAGTTTAATGATTGAAATCGAACGAGAAACGACTCACTCATTATTGTTAATATTATTATAATTGTAATTAAATATATTTTATCTAACAAAATAACAAACTTATGTATTATGTGTGTGTGTGTGTGTTATGAAAATTAAAATGTAAAATGTATGTGCCTTATTGATCCGTTCATTTACCTCGGTTTTCACTTACTCTATTTTATTATTTAGGTCATTTTTAATACCTAATATTTTGTTTTTGAAATGCTTCATTTCTTCCTATTGTTTGTTGATTTTGGCCGTTATTTTAGCGTTTTGTTGATTCATTTCAGTTTTCATTTTGGCGCTTTGTTGTTTTATTTTAGCTTTTTCGTTTTCGTCTGTTGTCCGTTGAGTGCTGCTTGAACAGGTGACTCGATCAGTCTCTATAGCTTCTCTCTTCAACATCTTCTCGTCTGTTCGGAATCTCGCTTCTAACACAAGTTGTTATAACCGACTTATTTCTGCTTATTTTTAGTTAAATTTAACTTGTTTTCATTGGCTAGCTATACCATTTTATTTTCATTTATGTTGTTATTTTCATGTAGGTACCTATATGTTTTTATTTTGTTTGGGTTGGGTGGCCGTACCAGCTCGTTTGAGCTTCTGTGTCTCCATGCTTTTTGAGGAATAAATTGAATTGAAATTGAAAAGTTGTATATAATTCTGTCGTCCGTCTTCTTCTTTACATATACTCCTCGTGTTCTGTCTCCTCCCTGTGTTGTCGGGTCCCCACTTATATGGTGACTTTTTTTTTACAACCGTTTTAATTAGCTCCGCCTCTTAATTAAAGTCTCAAGCTCTTCACTTAATTTCTAACTACTCGCCTTCACGTCTATAACAATACATTAAACTTCACCTATGGAATTGCCAGCCGCCAAAATGGTAGTGTCATCTGCATACATAATATACTTAACGGCCTTAGTCGATCTGCATATATCATTGATAAATATATTTAAAAAAAACAGGGCCCAGTACATTCATGCACGTATATTTCGCCATATTTGTTTCATATATATATATATATATATATATATATATATATATATATATATTTGACATTTTTTGTTACATCAAATCAAAACAAAGAAATGATATCAATGAAAAGAAATGATTTGGAAATAGAAAAGAAAATATGGTTTTTTTGTAATGATTACCAGTGACAATTGTAAAAATGAGAGCACATTTTAAATATTTTAGTGCATGTAAACTCACATTCATATTACAAATCCTAAAAAACTAAAAATGGAATAAAAATTATTAAGTAATCAACTCTTTTACATTTTTATCAGAATGTCGTTTGTAATTATTGAAACAGATATATATATATAGACCCACGTAAATAAAACATTCTTATTCACACATACACACACACACACACAAACACACACATATATATATATATATTATAATACTCGCTGTCGTAACCGATTTACGATGCGACGGGTTCAAATCTTCGATTGAATAAAATACTCCAAACAGTTATTAGTTATTAAACTTTATTTACAGAAGAAATCAACTAATCGTTTATTTCTAGCAAATTCAAATTAACACAACAATTAACTTTTAAATCGTTCAAAATCTATCGCTATGACAACGTCAACAAAACAAATCAAATATCGCTTTAAATAATTCACCGAATCGCTATTCACAAAATCACAGAGTCACAAATTTGCAAAATCACGAATTTCACTAATCACAAATTTCGCTAATCTTCTTGCGACGTGCGCTTATATACTCTTCGCAAGCGTCGTTTCTAGATTCTTCTAGATGATCCGATTCTAGCATATTCTAGAATGTTCTAGTGCGTTCGGTAGCACGGTTATAACAATATATTAACAATATTCTATAAATTCTACCAAACTACATTCTTTTTAACTTATAATTCTCGAGAGAGATGGAGCAGTCGCTGCTCGCGATCTTGTTCGATTGTTAGATTAAGTCGATTGGTCGCAAAACTTCGAGTAAATTTTGGTAATAGACCATAGTTTTGGTAATAGAATATTGTAAAAATTATGGTCTATTACCAACACACACACACACACACACACACACACACACACACACACACACATAAATATATATATATATATTAGGGTGGGTCGAATTTTTTTATCTTTCCTGTACATGAACAAAAAGTTGTTTTGGCATCAGTACAGTATGAAAATAATATTTAAAGATTTTTTATGAAACGTTTAGGGGTCCCAACTTTTGATTAAAGTCTTACCTTATTTGGTGTATTTTAACCATTTCCTTGGTACAATCTAAATACGTACCAACTATAAATCATTGGCAAATGGCTTAGCACCTAACTACAAGTGCTAAAAAAGAAATGGAGTAAATTTTATAACGTTATTTGCATGTGACGTCACTAACATTAACAACAAACCATGTGCTGGATTTTTTAGAAACAAGCAAAATATCTAATATATTATTTTGTAATTTTATTTTCTTCTTTGCAATAATAGATCTATAGTAAAATTCAAGTAGGCTAATATAGATGTATACTACAGTAGGCTATAGTCTAGACTGTAGATAAATCACTTCATTTAACTGGAGGAGAACTTAGGTAGACCATTACAGTGGTTGGTATGCCTTCCACACTGTAACGAGCTGCCATTTAGAAGGTTTTTGGTAGGCGTGGATTTTGCTCGAACTACAGGACCTTCCACATCGACAGGTACAATTAGCTCAGCTCTAGAATATGATCCAAATGAATTGCCTGTCGTTAATTATTTGCCAATTACTGGTAAGGTGACTGATTGTGATGAAGCTGTCAAGAAGTATCTTAGCACAGAACAACTGTAGTTTTTGAAAGCGTGTCTAGCAGTACAGCGTGGACGTCAGGCTTCTACAGATATTGATTTCCTCGAGAAGAGTTTACCTGGAAATACAAGTCATGCTCGATGGTTGACGAAAGCCAACAGGATTTTGCGTCTCTACATGTCTATAGAAGTGGCATCTGAACCTCTCAGAAGAGTAACGCATTTCATTTTGAACTTTTACGGACCCTCTTGGTTCAAAATTAAATCAAATTCTTCTTGCCGAAATGGTGCTAACAACTTCTTTTACTTAGTTCAGTTGTTTCGGGAACTTGATGCCTTAGATCAGGCTGTGGTTCGTCCTGTTCTCAAAAATAACTGCTACTTTGCGCATGCTGAAAACATTCTCTTAGCTGCAGTTAGTGATAGTGATATGGAAATTTGTCGTTTTTCAGTAGAACAAATAATAAGAGCAAGAGAGAAGCAGACTAATAGTAACATACCGGTTCGCGTCTTTGATAAGAAGGATATAACATTAAATCTGGCTGCGACATCGTTCATTAACATGATTGACTGGGACCAGAGTAATGTTACGTCTCCTCCGATGCTATCACACCTTTCAAATGATCAACTTACTATGCTACTGCCCGATGTTCCATGTCATTCACAGGCAGTAGAGAGAACAATTAAAGACGTTAGCGCTGCCAGCTGTAAAATTTATGGGAGAAAGTCCCGTCATGGCATGGTGTTACAGAGTAAGAAATCCAGATTTGAGATACCAAAAATAGACAGCAAGAAAGATTTTATTAACAGTTAGGTTAAACAACTTTGTATTGTTGCTGTTTAACATTGATTCGTTACAGTTTACATTCTTTTTAACTTGTAATACATTGCAATACATTACACTAACATTGGGTATTTATGTAGTCTTTCTAGTCAGAGTTGGGACCTGTAGACACTGTTCATAAAATAAAAAGTGAGGTTTTTTCAAACGAGTACATCAAAAAGCAACTTTTTAGACATGTACAGGATCTCCAACTTAATATTTTTTACATTTCGACTCACCTTAATATATATATATATATATATATATATATATATATATATATATATATATATATATATATTTTTTAATCCAAATTTTATTTGACAGAAAAAAAAAAATATATATATATATATATATATATGTTGGGAATAGACCATAATTTTTACATAAATTATATATATATATATATATATATATATATATATATATATATATGATTTTTTTCCAATCGGGCGCTGTATAAATGCAATGAATAATAATAACAATATATATATATATATATATATATAGTGTGTGTGGAAGAGCCTGTGAAAATATAAAATACATCAATGAATTCTATATAACTGTTTCAAATAAAATAAATCATACTTCTCTCTAAACTTGTGTTTATTATATTATCTATTCATCATTATCTATTTATTGTAAACAGATTTCAATGGAAGAAATATGATGAAGATCTAACTGCAATATCTTCTTCTGATGATGGAGTGACCGTATGCTCTAGTTACCAAAAACAACTTACAGAGGTCGACAATGGCCTCTACTATTGCATTGTATCAAACAACTTTGGAAAAGCATTAACGTCGGCTACAATGGTTATGTTACAAATAACTCCAAAGATAGAAGTTAAAATACCAATTAAAAAATCAGCAAATGAGTATCTGGAATTGAAATGCACCAATGCAATTATTACTCCGCCTTTAAACAGTACGAATATTGACTGGAGGTTTAACGATAAAATTATTGAGTACAAAAATACAGATGGATCAAATATTATTACTAATGAAGGTAATTGTTTGTTATATGAACAGACTTTTCTTCCAAAAATTTTCAATAATAAATTTAAAAAAATCGTTTTTTAAACTAAAATATATTGAAGAAATTATTTACAATATTCAAAATTTTGCACAACCTTGAAACTCGACCAAAGTGGTCCAATCAATTATATTCAATTAGCTGGTCCCGCCAACCAAACTTGATCATCTTTTTTAAAACGAAAATGTAAGTAAGGCACTGTTGGTTCATGATTGGGTCGAATATGTTTCAAAAATAATTTTCCCATTTAATCATTTGTAGCAATTTTGTGGATTTTATTTTTTCTGTCTCATCAGCCCGTGCACACACCATTCATTTTCATAGTCTCTCATTTTCACTCACAAATGTCATCATGTCTTACTGAAAACGAAATAAATATTTTCGGAATGTTAAAATGGAAATTTGAAAAATTGATTTTTATAATTTTATGAACCCTAATTTTTTCAAATGATATGACAAAATCGAAGCATATTTTTCTTTTCGTTCTGTTATTTGAGTACATTTTTGTGTAACATATTTTTATAACCGCCACAAATATATTTGCTAGAGGAGCTAGTGTCGCTACGAACGCACCGAGTTCGAGAAGGAAACAGAACCTCCAGACAGCGAGACATCTAGCACGTCCGGGAAGCGTCGACAAGACGGGTGTGATATAAAAACGTGCGAGGTGTTAAATAGTGATGTTGATCGGTAGTTAGTGTTGTCGAATGACGATTGTTGGTGTCGAAAGCGATATTTGGTATTTGACTGCGTTGTATTTTTATTGTATTTAAGATATACGTTGGTGAGTTGTTATTCGGAAAGCGGTCATATCTGAACGTTAATTTGTGATCGTTAATTTTTATCTAACATTGGTTAACTGATTATGTGTACGTAGTTCCGAATCTGCAAATTTCGCTACAAATTTTATTGACAAAAGCAGTTTCAATTGCAAGCTGTGAGCGATCATTCAGCAAAGTGAAACTTATTTTATTGTATCTGCGTGTATCAATGAAACAAGATCGTTTCAGTGATCTTGCCCTTCTCAGTATTTAAAAAGAAACATTAGAAATGGCAGATTTGAATAACATAATTGATCAGTTTGCGAAAATGAAATCTAGAAAAAAAATCTATTGTAAGCTACGTAAATTATCTTTGAAAGTCACTGAATCATTTGTTATAATTTGTATATTTATGTTTTGTCTTTAAATACAATGTTCCGTTAAAATTTGAATTGTTTTTGTTAACAGTGATTTTACAATGCTAATGTAATAAAAAATGGGATTAAACAAGGAGAGGGGCGCCAATTTTATAGTTTGTTCCCGGGCGCAAAAATACCCTGGCTACGCCTCTGATACAAGCAGCATCTTTGAAAAGGGTTGGGCTACAAATCAACTGATCACACATTGCATGGGATAGGTGGTCTTCCCATTCGAACTCCGTCACTGCAAAACTAGACCAGACACCTTCAACCATTACACCAACTGTTAGATTTAATATAAACTGAAGTTTGAATCTAACCATTCCTGATATTTTATATGAGAATGTCTATTTGTTATTTTTACCATGTTCTGTGATAAACTGCAAAAAACAAGCTATCTAATTGTGAATATTGATAGGACATTATCTGAATTGCGTATTCAAAAGAGTGGTTTGATACTGCAATGGTTTTTTTGTTAAGGTTAATAATTACATTTGACAAAATTTCTGAATAAAATGAGATGTTAAACTGTTGCAGCTTCTTTCCACAACATTGAAAATAATTAAATTAAATAAAAAAATACTGAAAATTTAATGCAAAATCCTTCGCAATGCAAAGTCCTTCAACTAATTGAATCCGATATTGACAACAAAAATGTAACATGACTAACTTTAACGAAAAATAATTTTCGCACTTTGCACAATGAAAATAAGCCGTGAAAACTATTTTCTTAACATAAGCAGACAAGTAAGTTTTTGTAAGTCTTATTTTGAAAATTAAGTTTTGTAAAATTTTCAATTAATATACAATATTAATGAAAATATTGAAAAAATTGGCAGGCAACTTGCATTTTTCTTCGCTCGTTCCTGCAAATAGTGGAAAATATATATGCATTTGGAAAAATCCAAATCGTCCAGACACCAGGATTGGAATGACAGAGTACACATTAGTCGTTACAGCGAAACAACCTGGTGAACACATATTTTTAATTTTTATTATTTTATGTTTTGCTATGTCAGTGTTTATATTCTTTTTAGAAAATCTGGACTTCAGCATTTCTTTAAACTACTCCGAACCATCGGTTGGTTTGGTCGGAGAATCAGTTGAACTGGTTTGCTTTTTTAAAGGAGCGTAAGTGTTACATTTTCTACCTGAACATTTTTTTTGTTTTAATTCGCAATAATTTGATTTCACAAAAATTTAAAAAATAAATTTTCTAAGGACTTATCAATCTGTGACGTGGAAAGACCCCCGTGGTCACGATATTGCTGGAAATAAACTTTTCGATATTGTGGTTAACAAACTGGTCATCCCAAAACTCGAAAAATCATTAGCTGGGACTTACACATGCGAAGGCACAGCTAGCTTGTCGAATAAAAAGGCAGTGGCATCGGTAAATTTAAAAGTCGAAGGTACTGTTATTGCTGCATTCTAATATTTTTCAATCTATAACATTATAGTAGCTAAAATAATGAGGCGCGATCTGTCGTTCCTAAGCCTCCAACAAATTATATCCCTCAAATTAAAAGAACAATAGTAATGTCAACAAATAATAATTATAATTATTAAATTAACTACATAAAACTGCATTAAAATAACACCAAATAAATTAAATTACATCTATGTAACTATAAAAGTACGTGCATGAAGTCACACAGATGAATACATTTAAAAGAGTTAGTTAATTAATTAATTAACGACTGTCTAGATATACACGTATATACAATACATATATACACATACATGAACACACACATAGGATGAAAAAAAACAAATTTACGTACAAATATACACGAGAGCATACAAAATTTACACAAATTAATCCATGTGAAAAGCAAAACAAATGAAAAAAGTCAAAAATGCCACCATTCAAAAAATATATCTTTATCAAACATATGTCTATCAAAACGAGCCTTAAGCAAATCAACATCACCAGCTATCACAACATCAACACACTCAAAATATTCCATGTATTCACCCCTCTTTTCGAAAATTTAAATTTTCCATGATTCGTTTTAAAATTATAAGTAGACAATTTAAATGGATGCCCTTGTTCGTTCGTCGTAAAGTCTCTTCAGTAACGGAAAGCAGGCAGAATGATCCCAATCTCTTGTTATGTTGTAAACCAAAATGAGGTCACTTTGAGATGTCTGTACCTAAGTGTAGGTAGGGAGGGAAATCTCAATCTCCGTTCATAATTAATTTCAAAGCAATCCTTAACCATCTTAGTAGCCCTCTTCTGAACTCGTTCAATGTCTTCTATAACTCCTAGTGACCAAGAAGGACCATACACACGCCGAAAATTCTATCTTTGACCTGACTAAAGATTGGGTAAAGTGTAACAAAAGAATCTTTAGATAAATTTGTGAAGTAATTTTATATGCAATAATAGAATACATAATAGGGTGGTGGTACTGGATTTTTAGTTTCCAGTAATATTATTTATGAAAATCTTAATGTTAATAACTTATACCAAAATGATTTCTTTGATTGGTCTGGTATAAAAACCAAGTTAAACAACATTATTATTTATTTATCTGTATATATAAGCCACCAAATATCAACCTAGAACAATATATAGAATCATTGAATGATTTATTAAGTAATACATTAAAGTTAAATAGCAATTCTAGTTTGTATATACTTGGTGATTTCAATGTAAATGTTGCAGTGAACAATATCACTATTGAATTCTCTGTGCTGCATTCTTAGAATTAAAAAATGCAGCACAGATGTTTGAAGATTGGAACACCAGACTCGCCGATCATGGATTAAAAGTCAACATTAGCAAAACCAAAGCAATGAACACTGGTGAACCCATTCAATCCACAGCTACTGGACGATGGCCCTGTTCAGTTTGTAAAGCTGGTGTAGGTAACAATTCAATCAAGTGTCAGCAGTGTAACCAGTGGTGTCACAAACGTTGTTCAAAAATAATTGGTACTTTATCTAAAGTGTACAATTTTGTTTGTCCTGCTTGCATCAATCCACAACAACAAATTCGAAATAGCAATGTTTTTGAAGCCATTAAGGTAGAGAAAGTCACATCGTTTTAATATCTAGGGAATGTTCTGGATTGTACTGGAACAGCTGAAGCTGCCGTTCGAGCACGCATACGTGCAGCCTGGAATAAATGGCATCTCCTTGCCTCTATATTGATGCGGCGTGACATCCCACTACCACTACGATCAAGAATTTATAAATCTGTGATACGTCCGGTGTTGTTAAATGGTGCAAAAACATGGCCAATGACAACCAAACTGGAACAACAACTTCAACGAACCGACATCCTGCGTGGTTTGATCATGTCAAACGAAGTGGAAACAGTGCCATAACTTCTCTTGCAGATGTTGAAGTACCTGGCACACGTCCCAAAGGCCGTCCAAAGAAGTCCTTTTCGCAAACAACCGAGCAAGACTTGAAGGCTCTAAATTTAAATGAAATGGATACAACTGATCGTCTAATTTGGCGCAAAAAGTTGATGGCAAAGAAAACAACGTCCTACCTCGGGGAACCGGGTCTCTGGACGCAAAACGAAGATAGATTGATTGATTGATGAATTCTCTGGCATCCTATAGTTTATATCCAATAATAAATCAACCCACTAGAATCACTGACAAGTTCTCTTCTATAATTGACAATATTTTTACTAATTGGAGCTCATTTTTTCTTAAAGGTATCTTTTGTGAAGACATGAGTGATCATCTACCTATTTTTATATCTAAAATTTTAACTGGCCATATAAAGACCAACAAATGTCACCGATCCAAGTTCAGGCCCCTGAACTCTGTTAAATTGAAAATTTTAGAAGATCATTTATCTAATATAACATGGCCAGAAATTTCTGTTACGCCTGACCTGAATACTGATTTTGACAATTTTTTAAAGGCATATTTAGATTGTGTGGATGCTGTCTGTCCAGTTATCTGCTGTAAAGATAGATTTAGGAAATCCTGGATGAATATAGAGCTATATAACTCTACTCATAAAAACAATCTCTATAAAATATATTTATTAAACCCTACCTTAAAAAATAAAATAATATATACACATTATAATAATTATATCACGAAAATTAAAAGATTACAACAGAAATGTTTCTTTAATAACAAAATTAATAATTCCAAAAACGTCAAAGAAAAATGGAGTGTATTAAATAACATTATTAGATGTACTAAAAGTAATTCTAATCAACTTATAGTAAATGAAGATTCAGAAAATCATTTAAATACAGTAAACGACATTAATCATTTTTTCATTAATCAAGGGTACAAATTAAATAACAGTTGCAACAATGTATCTGAATCAACTGCAACCAATTATGTCCCCAAAGTTGACTATAATTTTCCATCCTGTTACATCACCTGTTGAAATAATTTCAATAGTAAATAAATTAAACTGTAATAATAGTTTGGATATAAATTATCTATCTACCAAAATTCTCAAACAAACAATCCAATTCTTAGCTTATCCACTTTCTGAGATCTTTAATAAATCTATTAAGGTAAGAATTTTCCAAAGTAGTTTGAAATTGGCAAAAGTTTTACCCATTTTTAAAAATGGAGATCCCAAACAATTTGTCAACTACAGACCAATTTCAATACTCCCTGTTTTCTCCAAGATTTTTGAAAAATTAATTTTTCTAAGGTTTTGGGATTATTTGAAAGAATTTAATGTAATTAATAAAAACCAATTTGGATTTGTCCCCAAAGCATTAACTAAACTGGCAATTGCTGAACTCTATGGTTCTTTAATTAAGGGCTTTGAATCCAAACAATTTACATTGGGCATTTTTGTGTATTTAAGTAAGGCTTACGTTGTCATTGACCATGAAATTTTGCTATCCAAGCTGTCTGTATATGGATGTCGTGGTATCACACTTGCTTGGTTTAGGTCTTATTTAGCAGATCGTAAACAATATGCAATATTCGTACTGGAGTCCCTCAAGGGTCGATATTAGGCCCGTTGCTATTCATCCTGTTTATAAATGATATCTTTTCAGTTTCTAGCCATTGTAATACAATTCTTTTTGCAGACGATACTAATATATATTTGACAGACAGTAATCCTGTTAATTTGTTTCATCTCATGAATGAGCAATTGGATAGATACTATGATTTTTTTAGAAATAATAAATTACCTTTAAATCTGAAAAAATCTTGTTACATTTTGTTTGGCCCTAAAATAAAAACCAACAATGTCATGTTCAATAACCTATCTATAAAAATTGGTGATGTAATCCTACCACGTATTCATTCAATAAAATTCTTGGGTATCATGTTACAGAGTGATTTGAAATGTTCGAAACATATTGAAATGATCCTAGCAAAATTATATAGAATTAATGGAATAATATATAGAGCACGCAATAAACTAACATTACCAGTTATTATAACGTTGTACTATTCCCTCTTTTTTCCATATCTAACCTATGGGAATATTTTTTGGGGGAGCACGGCCAAATATTTAATTAACTAACTATCTGCTGCTTATGTTTTCACTATCTAAATTAGACCACACCAAGCCAATATATACCTTGTACAAAATTCTTAATATAGAGCAACTAAATATCTATCAAACACTAATATTTTTCTACAAAGTTTTATACATGGAAAACTACCAACATTTCAATACATTTGAATAAATTACAGCTAATAGTCGATATAATGGCAAGTTTAAATTATTGAAAAGTAGGACAGTAACTAATGACAGGCATTGGGCAGTCTGTGGTATAAAATTATGGAATGAGCTGCCTTTAGGTGAAGTGAATATAACCAATATAAGGTCATTCAAGCTTTCACTCAAGGAAGTTTTCTTTAAAATGGTTTGATTTAATTTTATTTTTTCACATTATACTGTGTTAATCTGTTTATTTTATATATGGAAATCTTCGTAACAATTTTTATTAAGTTTATTATAGGTATTTTTTAATTCTGTTTGACTTAATTTGTGCAATTTTAGTTAAGGTGATTTGCACAAGCCCGCTTATTTGATCTCCTGGTTTTTGCTAAATAAAAGGATAAAAAAAAGTGTCCAATAATCAAGCCTAAAACTGAGTTGCATTTAATTATTGTTGTATAAATATGTTTATGAAATTTAATATAACGTTCAAACTAGACACCTTAATCTTTAACAACATTTACTTTATCCAGAGCAAAACCGTTGATTTTATAAGAAGTATTAACAGTCATTTCCATGTCCAAAATACATAGAGATACATTTATCAACATTTATTTTCAGTTCCCATTTCATACTCCATTCATACAAATCATTCGAACAGGCTTGTAATACCAACCAATCCTCATTACTTGAAACATGTTAAAATATCTTAGCATCATCAGCATACATATAAAGGCCAATCCAATTTACAAATATCAAAAATATCATTCACATAAATAACAAATAAATCGGGACCCAGAACACTTTCCTGTGGAACTCGACTATCCACTTTAAAACGATCATGCATCCATTCACTCTAACCACAAAAGTTCTATTCTAAAGATAATCCAAAATTCTTTCAACAATATGCCCATTCACACCGTAATCAGAAAGTTTCTTAATCAAACTAGCATGAGGAACTTAATCAAAAGCCTTCTCAAAATCAGTATAAATCACATCAATTTCTTCACCTCCATCAAGAACTTTTGTTTTATAAAGTTTCAATTATGTTTAATAACAAAAACAAGAAGAATGTGATCACAATTTCCTATAGGAGATCTGTAATCAATACTATAAATCAGCTCCTTGTCATGAACCAACAACAAATCTAATATGTTCGATGCCTAATAGCCTTAGATATCATTTGAAATAAATACAAGTCTTTCACACAATTCAAGAACCTGGCCTCAAAACTTTTAACACCCTCCAGATGTTTTAACGAGATTCCAATTTATATTAGGTAGATTAAAATCTCCAACATATAATTCAATTCCTTAAATGCTTGAAAAAGCCCTTAATAAACATAAGAAATTATTAGAAATATCAGAATTAGGACTACGATAAACCAATAAAATGTTAAAGTTTTCTTGATATCTGAACAAGTAAACATTCAGCAAACACAACCGAAAGATCTAAAACAGAACAATTAAGGAAAGATGGCCCTTTTTCATAAAATTTACTGAACAAGTTTTATAACCAGTTATAACAAATTCTGAAGAAATTTCATCAATCAAATATTTTGGGTTCGTTTCAGTGAACAGCATAATTATCATAATCATAAAAATTCACAAAAATTTATAAAATTATTTCAAATTATAGAATAAGAGAATTGATTGTACATTAAACATTTAAAACTATACATCAATCTGCTATATGAAAGAGTTAATAAATACGATTCGTTCTTCTTGAGACTTTTAAACTATTTTATTTAGATGTTTAATTTTTTGAACGTT